TATAGTGCGTAAAAATCTATAGAAGATTTGAATAATTAATCGATTCAAATTCACAATATCTTTATTCATGTAGGTCTATTACAGACTCTTATGATATGTCAAATCTACCGTCAGTTCGGATATTCCTGTATCTAATCACATGCATTTACAGAAATGACTACATATACATGCACATATATTAATGACTACATATAGCTGTTCGTATTGGTTTTAACAAACTTTCCTCGGTAATATATAAAAAGTAAAAAAAAATATTCAAATTCGTGGTTGATTTTGATAAAACTACTAGTCCATTATAATTTTTCATTGAGACCCTTCCTGCTATTTTCTCTTTATTATATAAAAATAGACATACACAATTTAAAATTTTATTTCTTGTATCTAAACTTCTTTATACTCATACAATTTTACTATACTACTAGATAAGATATAAATATATTTGACAACAGTAACTGCATTTCGAAACGATTAATTTTTAAGATAGTAGTAAGGTAGTTGACCTTTGATATTATTTTAAAATATTTTGAACCTAAATTGGGATATTGTCGTTTATTTAAAAGTTTCAGGGTTTTTTGAAAGCATATGCACCTGTTTAATTAAAGTATCATGTAATATGCTTAACTACCTAAAACAAAACCAAATTGTGAAACAAGATAATTTCATTAAATCTATTCTAAATATCACATTAAAAAAAGTTGATTGTCGAAGAATAAGTAGTTTAGAGCGTAAGTTATTTTAATAGTTTCAATGAGAAAGCCAAAAAAATTGTCGTATTTTAGATTTAGGCAAATTGTGACATGTAAAAATAATATTTTGACCACTTCTACTACTTATATATACTAATACTTATACTGGTCGCTACGCAGAAATTGGTCCATTCTTTTTGGCGGAGTTTAGATTAAAATTCCTCTGCCCGAAACAAATCTTATGCAAAATTGTATGTTTCAAATTGTTAACGATATTTCATAATTTTTTGTAGCGAATGCGACTCGATGATTAAAGGTTTATATATTTCACTCGTGCACCACGAAAATCCTTTTTTAATGTTGCCAATTATTTCCAAGTGCCTTCAAGAAAGAATAATAGGCACGCGTATTCATCGCGTATACGCGCGGCTGTCGAGTAGGTTCTCTGCTCGCGGTAATCGCCACTAAGTGAGCACTTTGCTTGATGCCCAGTATGAAACTTGAATAAATTACGAAAATTTTTAAGCATTTTAAGTTTTTAACACTTAAAAACAGTAGTTTCTATTTATACAGAACTACATATTCTCTACTCTTTGTGGCTTGTTTGTACAATGTATATAGGAAAATATATAAGCTTTATAAAAACCTAATGATCGTTTTTGTACCAAGTCAGAAAAAAAAACTATGCATTTTGTAGTATTAATTTGATACGATATTTATGTTAGCATAAAAAAAATTCATAAATCTGCTTATTAAATTGTATTAAACATGTATAGGTGCTGTAGATGAACGGAAAAATATTATCACTGGTGTTGGATTGAATATAATTGATTGTGTACAGTCGGCATATGGTTATAATTTTGAGACATACAAAACATGTTACTGTTTAAATTATAGGTAATATTTTAAAATATTAATAATAATATCGAAAAATAAATTACTAGATTTTTTCTGTAGGTATACTCCGTATATATTTACTAGTTCTGAATTAACTTTGCAGAACAGAGTTCTTACAAAATACTACAAGAATCAAGGCAATAGAATCTTAAGGCACAAAATAATCTTTACTGACTCAGCAAAAGATGAATATGTAACATATTACAAGTACAGTTACGTGAATACTAGGTTCAGACTATTACAAACACTTTCAGAATATAACTAGTAACAGAATTTAAATAAAAGTAATATATATGCTGATTACTGTACCTTAATTTCAATATAATCGATACAAAACCTGTAATTGTCATCATACAAACAGATCCAGTACTTACTAACAACGATAACAAATCAATCAATTACAGATTATCATGTTTGCGCCCTTGCTATGACATCTAAACGTAAGTCAATAACCGCCGCGCAAAAAATTACTATAACTCCCTATTGAAAGCAACCGCGTTCTATTCTGAGAGCATGACGTAAGCCTCCAATTTGAGTGTATGGTCAAATTAAGCTAAGTACAGTGATGGACTAAGGTCTGCTCAATTGTAATGAAATACATCTGTTTATTTTGTACGTATTGTTGTAGCAAATAAGGTTGCGGAACGTCGTAATGTAAGTGTATGTGAAATATAATATTTATAGTATTATTAGAAATGTGATAGTGTCTGCCTCTCTGTTACCTTTTTACAATTAAACGATTGAACGGATTTTAATGAAATTTCAAATAAAGACAGATTGTATCATGTAACCGAACAGTTTATATTTTATTTCAAGAAAGAAGTCGCGGGCTATCTGTCGGTCCGACTCTATGTTTATTTATTGCGATTATCATCACTAGAAGCCTTTGTTGCCTTCTTTAATTGTGCTTGCGTTTTTACTTTGGTTTTGTAGGTACATATGGCGATGAAATTTGTTATGGAGACGTAATATTTTTTTACTGTACTGTTTAAACTGTACGTTTTTTTATGCTATAGCATAAAAAATCGATAGTATATCTATCTATCCGTTTGTTTCTGTTTCACGACTAATAAAACGGATCGTCTGAAATTTGACATAAAGTAGATTGTAGTAAAACTATGGACAGACTTTTTTTTATTGAGGCGGTTTGTGCCATTGCAAGGTGTTTTTAGACCTGTAGCACTGTGACCTACGGAGATTTATTATAGGGACACATGGACTTTCTTTTAACTCAAGAAATGAACTGGAAGTGGGTGAAATATTGAATATATTCGCAGGTAACAGGTAGTTCCATAAAATGTCTATTAGATTGTCTGTTATATAAAATGCTGCTTATGTTCAATAATGACTATTTAGTTTCCATCAGGTGAAGCAAACCTTGCCAACTTGTTACTACATTAACAAGCAGAAATAACATTATTACATTGCTCTACCCTTCGGTACGTCTCTGATACATTATGATTAAAGCGAACAGGCTTTGTTTTTTGTCTATTGCTTTCTCGTTTGCATACACACGTATAGAAGTACTTATTTACTCAGTCATGTGGCATGGAGACGTAAATAAGTATGTAAATCTATTTAGTAATAGCTAATTTTTAATTCAACAATATCAAAAGAAACATTTTATTTAGAGTCTCCATAAACGATCGGTATATGGGAAGAATTGCGAAAGTAGATATATTTAGCATTTTTTTTATCAAAAAATCATAATAGCTATTTTCTAATTTCGTGCTTGATCTTCTGTTAAATTTTGACAATGAAAATATATAAATTATGAAGTTTACAGAACTTGAGTGAATAAATATCTCTTAATATAACTTGTTTTACTATGTTTGTCGCACGAGAAATTGTAAAGAAAAATTACGTTATTATAATTGTCATGATCAGAGGAAAATTTATACAAAGTCACTTATTTGAGCTATTCATCATCTGATGATCTTGAATGTTTGCTACATTTTAATTAGAATGCAAGGTGTCAATGGAACGATAGTCATGCGGTGTTTTATGATGTTCTTGGTGCAATGCAACATGGCGGTTATTAATTTCTATACAATTTGGAATCACCAATTCCATGTCCTAAAACAAGGTTTTTTCAGGTCGTGTATTATTCAGTGCTAAGGGACAAGATAGGGAAATATCTTCACGAGAAAATGATATAACATATTATTACTAAACGTCCGAAGTAGCATCACAGTATATGTTTTAGCCTTAATTATCTCAAGAAAGCTAGAGTAATCATATACCATCAGGTGGTAATAACTTGTTTGCTATTCCCAGTTGTATAAAAATAAATTGATTTCCTGAAAGTTTAGACCAATAAACACAATGAATAAATAGAGTAACCCATATCCAAGATTCATGCAAAACGTAAAATTAGGTCTAAAATATAGTTTTGAAGTGCGACATCACCACAAATCCAAGTAGTCGGTCTATTCTATATAACATGACTGTATATGATATTAAATCTTTATTATTTTAACAACGCAACAAACGTAAACATGGAAGCATTATTGAATATAGATGACGTAATTTTAAGATATACCTCTGATAAAATCTAATATGAAAACCTACCTAAATACGGTGCACTGTATATAAAATTTATCCTCTGCAAGCAGATTTTTAATTATTAATATACAATAGCTAGATTTCTAATTGCATACATTTCTTGTTATACGATGCTATTTCGTAATAGACTAGATGAATATATATATATATATATATATATATATATATATATTTAATTTATTAACTAAAGCTTTCACAATGCTCCTAATGTTATTGTACAATATTACTTAGTCCGTAATATTATACGTAAATATCTTTAGTAGGCTATTTGGCAGTCTTAGACCGAACAACTTTGAAACTACATACTAAAAACAAGGCATTATGCCTGATTACCACTTTGAATAATTCATAAACGTTAACACGTTGACTACAGTACGTTTAGTAATACAGAAAAGATCGTAAACCCATATAGCCTTCTTAAATACGCTAACAAGTCTTATTTTCAGACACATTTTTTACATAAACTGAATAGCGTATAACAATATGTACAAGCGAATGACATAGAACATATAAACAAATCTGTAACACCACCAAAACACAACGAAACAAAAACACTTAGCAGGCAAGCATGCACACATACCAGGAACGTTTTTGTATGGCGTTCTAAATAACGAGTAATTTTGAAATTTTGAATCCACTTTTACATATACAAAATAACATTAACAGATGTAATTACCAACACCACAGCGTGATAATGAAATGCTAGCTTTATAGTACATTCTATGAATAAAATGACTCTGTTTTAAATAGTTTGAAATTATAGTAGTACAAATAAAGTTAGCATTTCAGGTCAGAAATAACAAAACACAGCCATTGCCACAGAAGCCAAACGTTCCGAGCGTGGAATGCTACCTGTTGTGTTGCTGCCTCTCGGAAGGTGGGGGTGATGCTGCGCGAGACGACGTCGCGGTCTGCTCCCTGGTGTCAGGGCCACCACTCGGACTGCCGGCGCCGCTGCCGCCGAGCGCCAACGCCAACCCGCTGATGCTGCCGACACACCACCATGTCACCATTGCCCTAGCGTCGAGCATTCATAACCCTGGCATAGCTGCTCCAACTTGAAATGCTATCACACAGACCATCATACCAGTATACATTGAAAATAGGATACTAACATAGGATATATAAGCATGAATGAACATTTTAATGTCTACTGTGCTACAGGGGCACTAATCAGCTATAGTATAAATGTTGGAGCAGATAAGCCATTTGCTTAGTAACGAGACCTAGGATCGATATAGCAATGGCACTGATTTTGCTAATCTAATCTCTCCTATTTACATCGATGATATCGCGCCAACTATTTAAGTACTGGATTATTGTAAGGCCGATGTTTATTATGTTACGGATTCGCCTTTCGCTTATATACTCGGAACTACAGACAGCGGAGCGAAGCAGAGCATTCTCAGCGGGGTGAAGATACGTAAGCAGTGATATTCAGTTAGTGGCAAATCATCGGGTGTGTCAATATTATGGATACATATGGCAAGCAAGCATTCCGGTATTATTGTAGTCTTAAATAAAATAAATTTAAAGATAATTTATCGGTTGAGTTGATCACTCAGAGATAATTCACGTGTCTCTAGTTAATTAAAGTGATGGCCGACAATAGAAGCCATTTAGACGGCAGTTAACAACAAAATAAATCAGTCAATCCTTCCACAGTGCAGGTAATTGAAGATGACGGTGATTCATATGCCAATCACGGTGTTGAGGAAGATGGAGTGTTAGAAGGAAGTCGTTCTGGGAATCAGTCACGCAGCCAAGAGTGGGCGAGAACGGGCAATTAGGCGGTCCCTCTACGTCAACGAACTAGAAATATGTCGCGCTGTACGCAACAAGAGTATGAATGGACTGAATACGTCAACTACAGACGTCGGCAGCTAGCACAGCCAATGTGTCGCCACCACCAAGGTTGTTTATTGTTAACGAGGAGACACTACAATAGCTAATTGTCGTATACAAGTTTTGCATTCGTTTAATGGACTAATTTCTATATATGTATATACGATTGCTAACATTTTAACTGTTGTAAAGGTAAATAAAAGCCTATGATATCGTTTGTACGTATTATGAATGTAAGTATTAGTCTTTTACTTGTTTTTAAAATTTTTAATTAATAAATACGACATTCAGAACTTTCATATTTCTAGTGCGACAGCTTACATACTACTTGTATCATAATAATACGTTACGTGTTACGCTACGTTTGTTATCGTTTATAAATCCAGTAATTACAAGACATTTAATTTCAAGTCACTAAACTGATACACTACTGCCCAATAGTAATGGTTACAGAAAAATATTGTTTTTAATAAAATAACTGTGTTACTACTGACATTAAGTGGTAACCAAAATTGATTTAAGGCAAAGTAGCTGTTCTTATAAATATGATTAATGATGAAAATTCAACAAACTTATGAAAGTTGAACATCAGTATCCATATTTATAAATACACAAAAGCATATGAGAAAATTAATGTCTCATATTCTTTTGTGTACTTATAAATAATAGGACATAAGACCTTGAAACTTGTGCTCTTTAAATAAGACATCATGACATTTCATAATACAAATGAAATTAATGCAAATCGTTTACCACATAAATGTATTTAGAGGTCAGTACCAGTTTCCGTGTCAATATAGGACGTATAATAACAACGCCATATTTCCGACTTTAAACAATTTAATATCCGTTTTGTTTTCATATAAACATCGGTGCAGGCGGTGGCGTCATTGGATATGAACAGGAAGTAGGAATTTGCAGTAGAGGATGTTATCAACAATTACTTTTAGATTCAAAGAAACAAATTATACTTCCTATTGCAATTTGTTGCAACTTGCAACTGATGGTGTATTTTTGTGGAGTTGAACATTTTTTTTAAATAACTGAAATTACATATAAGGTGACGGATAATCAGATGGTACTCCTCTAGTACATACATTAACAGTATCAAATGACGTCGATATTACCAATCATACATTGCTATTCAGGATTTCATGCCTTCACACCCTGTATTTTTACTGCCTTACCTCACCCTTCAAATTAAACATCTCATAATGCAATAATGCAACCTACTACTGAGCTGCTGCAGTAGGTGCTACAGAAATACCTACAATATCAACTTTTACACAGTACTATCTCGGTATACTCTATTTTAATATGAAATGATTTAAACTGTGGTATACGAATTGTATAGTACTATGTAATATTATGTTATCTGTGATAGTACTAATCTTTACAAGTACTAGCATAGTGAATCAGACAAGGCATAATTTAGAAGCATTAACTTGCCTGTAAATATTGACGCTATAAATATAGGTTTACTATATGTATCTAAGGAAAAAAATATGACAATTATAGTGAAAAAGTATGTTGTGATCACATACATACATAATTTATACATAAGATTGATGGATTATATTGACAGACTATTAGCTATATATCAACGAGTATACTTTTGTCATAATTACTAGGTACCTATTATTATAACTCAGATTCAATAGAGTTGGTAAAATAGCTTAAACTGATACAACAGTTTTATAGTATTGTGATACTAAACCACTATTAATTATAACAAATAATAAAAAATATATATCTATTAATTAATTATCAATGCAACGTCTTATATAAGTTTTAAATTTATGTACTTAGGTATTGAATATAGTTTATATATAAAAATCCATTAAGGAAACAAAAGTACACGATTTTCATACTAGTAACACTTCTATCTAGTAACGCCGCTATCTAGTTCTTGCATAAAAATAAAGGTCACACAGTGGGTGTGAAACGAAGAAAGGCTACAAGTGTAATTATAAACCAGACATTAAATTAAGTACTTTAAATTAATAAAGCACTTTAATAAGCTTGAAAGTATTTCCGACACAATAATGTACGACAATAATTAAAGTTGTTTCTAGAGAATTCTTTGGTTTTCTAGCCAAGTAACTGGTTCTCAAGACCTGACATGTATTTATATTACAATTTAAAGTGAAAAGATATCAAATATATTTGATGCTTTGAAAATCATATTTAAACTAATAAGTACGGTATCTATGATAACAAAACTAAAATCCATAATTTCATTCAAGTGGAATTGCCGCTATCTTTATAAACTACTATCGACTGGTCTCGGCTTCTCACGGATACATTACAAATCTTTGAATTTCTCGGCTCGTTCTATATTATAACAATCATGACATATTAACCTTCCTCACTCAATCTATTACTGAAAACTGTAATAAAATCAGTTGCGTACAGACATCGGTGGCGACTTTCTTTTATACTATGTAAAGATGTAAGGGTTACGGAACAATAAAACCATTCTGTCGAGACGACGGGCATCGAGTGATGCTATTCATTCCTATATGGAATTGTTTCTAGTTTCCATCAGGTGTGGGTCGTCCACTTTTTTGTATTTTTTTTTATAAATTTAAGTAAATTATTTCTAATAGCACAGGTTTTGTATATTATACAGGTTTCTCTGCAATTCCCCTATCGATTCTACAACATAGACTACGTATTAAAGAACCACAACTATGTACGACTGTTTGTGACAAGCTTAGTAAACCTAGGAAACGGTACATCAAGCCAGCCTCCAAATTATTATATACAATATTTAATTTACTGTTAGTTAAAACATCGACACGTACTAACTGCACTTGTAATCTATTTTACTAGGTCTAAGCAAGGTCGATTGAAGGTGAGGGTGATAACATCAATACTTTTAATAAAATTTAATATCTCTAAGACACAATTCTTTAGACTTTTTATTTTTAATAATTCATGTGTATAGTTTAAATTACTAAAAAGAAAAGAAGAACAAATTGTGCCTATTATGAATATTTTATTTAACATATAAATACTAATTAAGTCTTTTATATATTTTTCTTTTATCACTGGCATTTATACTTATTGGACATTATTGGCTACTTCAAGCATGTTTATATAAAACTTTGTTAAACAACAAAAGTTTCACAATATCACTATAATAACAAAATAGAATTAAAACATATTGATTAAAATTCGAGTCATAAAAATAAATTCTGTATGGGTGAAGACATCATATACCTAGCTACCTAACAAATATTTTAAATAAAAATTATTCTGCAAAAATGTTAATTAATTAGAGTACCATGAGAAAATTTATATACAGCATTTAATTAATTAATCCTTATGGGGGATTAACAATTGCGGTACAACAATTTTAGCCCAATCATACAGGGCTACGAATCAAACCCGATTTGGTGTTTGCACATAAATTTAATATCCACAAACGTTTCGAGAATTGATAAAAACAACAAGTGTAGTTCAGTGTAGGTGGGGGGGAGTTTGCTATAAACAAACAGCGCTTGTTGGCAGTTTGTTTAAGGCAAGTACCTATTTTAGTAATTGCCTAGATATTGTTGAGGCGTTTAGTTTTCATTCATTCAGATATATGCAGTGTAGTTCTTCTCTCGATAGGTAGACTAACATATCCATAACCAGCAATGCAATCTTCTTTAATTTGCAAAAATCTATAATATCTAGTAACTTCTTAGATTAATATTTATACGTATATTTATTATTAAACGTTATAATATAAGTATGTCTACAATGATTTTAGTTTAAATATTAATTAATATTAATAAAAAAAATATTGAGAAACAGATCTGTATTTATTATTTCATCTCTTATTAAAATAAAGTAGCTATTTACAAGGACTCTGCTTAGTATTCAAACGTTATTGTCAATATTGTACCTATTATGACGATTATTTTTATAATCGACAGAATTAACTACCTTACTTGCAAATTAATTAGAACACGGTTTCTTTGTTAGAAAATAGCTGAACCTTTTTCTGACATTAACCATAATGAATTAGAGTTGAAGTTGCATTGGAAAATATTATAAAAATTAATATACTTGAACGCCATAAGTGCCAGAATACTCGAAACTAAAAACTTAGGAAAAACCGTGAACAAAGTTAAACGAAACACTGTTTAAAC